AAAAAAAACATCCTTCGGGAGACGAGCTTCTGTCTCTCTCCCCCCCCCCTCCCGAACCGCCCCGAAGAGACCGGACTGCCATCTGTCAGAAATGGTGTAGGGACTCCTGCTTGGGCAGGGGGTTGGACTAGATGGCCTCCCAGACCCTTTTCAACTCTTCTATCCTGGCCTGTCCTATTCTATTCTGTTCGGTTCGGTTCGGTTCTCTATTCTATTCCATTCTTCATTCTATTCTATTCTATTCTATTCTATTCTATTCTATTCTATTCTATTCTGTTCTGTTCTGTTCTGTTCTGTTCTCTATTCTATTCCATTCTTCATTCTATTCTATTTCATTCTCTATTCTATTCTATTCTATTCTTTTCCTTATTCTTTTCCTTATTCTATTCTATTCTATTCTTAATCCTATTCTATTTAATTCTGTTCTGTTCTGTAATATTATATTCTTTATTATATTCTATATTCTATTCTATTCTATATTCCTATTCTATTCTATTCCCTAATTCATTCTATTCTATTTTATTCTATTCCATTCTTTATTCTATTCTATTCCATTCTTTATTCTATTCCATTCCATTCCATTCTATTCTGTATTCTATTCTATTCTTTATTCTATTCTATTCTATAATATTCTATTCGGTTCTATTCTATTCTTAATCCTATTCTATTCTTAATCCAATTCTATTCTATTCCATTCCATTCCATTCCTTATTCTATTCTTTTCCTTATTCTATTCTATTCTATTCTATTCTTAATCCTATTCTATTTAATTCTACTCTGTTCTGTAATATTATATTCTTTATTCTATATTCTATTCTATTCTATATTTTGTTCTATTCTATATTCTGTTCTATTCTATTCTATTCTATTCTATTCTTAATCCTATTCTATTTAATTCTATTCTGTTCTGTAATATTATATTCTTTATTATATTTTATATTCTATTCTATTCTATTCTATTCTATTCTATTCTATTCTATTCTATTCTATTCTATTCTATTCTATTCTTAATCCTATTCTATTTAATTCTACTCTGTTCTGTAATATTATATTCTTTATTCTATATTCTATTCTATTCTATATTTTGTTCTATTCTATATATTCTATTCTATTCTATTCTATATTCTATTGTATTCTTAATCCTATTCTATTTAATTCTATTCTGTTCTGTAATATTATATTCTTTATTATATTCTATATTCCATTCCATTCCATTCCATTCCATTCCATTCCATTCCATTCCATTCTATTCTATTCTATTCTATTCTATTCTATTCTATTCTGTTCCTATATTCTGTTCTACTCTATTCTATATTCTACTCTTAAGTCTATTCTTAACTCTATCCTACCCTATCCTATCCTGTTCTGTGGAGGAGGCTGAGGAAGGGGTGGGGGATTAAGCCTTGAGGCCCGGTGGGGCAGTGGATGATGGGCAGGCACGGGAGACAGGGCCGAGGGGTTGGTGCAACTGTGGGGAGGACCGGCCGGCCGTCCAATGGAGATCTTGGAGACTTGACTGTACGGAGCGGGAAGTTGCCCGACGTTTTGAGGATCGGGGCCTATATCGTTTTGTCTCCCTCCCAAAGTGTGGGACCACAAGAGTGGAAGGGAGGATTGAAAAGGAGGAGGGGAGAGGACCAGACGGGTCACCCTCAAGGGGGGGGGTGAGGAAAGGGGGTGGGCTTCATTTAAGCCCTTCCCCCTCCAATTCCTGTTTGCGTCTTCTGGTGGCTATAATAACCAAGCGAGACGGTCTCTCCTTCGGCTGACTTTTGTTTCTCTTTTTATCCAGACGATTCTCCCGGGTGTTGTGCCGTGCCACGTTGTCTGGAAATGGCTGGAAGCATCCGAGGTAAAGTCTTGGCCCCTGGGGTGGGGGCGTGGGGAGGGGTGAGGTAGGCGTGGGAGCTGCTATCTTGGGTGGAGGGACAGGCCACGATGCCCTTCTGCGCGTCAAGCGCTGGGGGGGGGAATCAGGAGACTCCAGCGGTTCGAATGAGTGATCAAGATGTATTGCAAGCTTCGGGTTTTCGCTACAAGAACCTGACCTACTAACGGATCCATTGGAAATGAGCGGGAGATAAGAAAGGCATTCATGGTGGACTGGATTTAGATCTTTTGCAGGCGCGCAGGGATTTACGACTGATGACGAAATCCTACGATGGATGGACGGATGGATGGATGACAGATAAATCGTAGAAGAGAGAGAGAAATTATAGATGATACATAGAGATAGATAGATGATAGATTGGTTGGATGGATGGATGGATGGATTAGAATGGATGGATGGATGGATTGATGGATTAGATGATTGATAGATAGATAGATAGATAGATAGATAGATAGATAGATAGATAGATAGATAGATAGATAGATAGATAGATAGATAGATAGATAGATAGATGAGTGCCAGGAAAATCAGGAGATTCAGGCAGTTCAAATGAGTATCAAGATTAATTGCAAGCTTCGGGTTTTCGCTAAAAGAACCTGACCTACTAACGGATCAATTGGAAATGAGCGGAAGATAGGAGAGGCATTCAAAGTGGGCTGAACTTAGATCTCTTGCGAGTGCAGAGGGATTCAGGACTGATGACGCATTTGATGCCTCCCTCAGGTACAGCCTGGTTCTCTCTTACTACAGATGGATGGATGGATGATAGATGATAATAGACAAATGATAGATAGAAAGACAGATAGATACAGATACAGATACAGATAGATTAGATAGATACAGAGAGAGAGAGAGAGAGAGAGAGACAGAGAGAGACAGAGAGACAAAGAGACAGAGAGAGAGACAGAGATTAGGTGATAGAGATAGATAGAGAAGATAAAGATTTAGTGCAAGTTTAAGCTCTCTACAAAAATCTGACCTACTAACGGTCAGGGGAAATGACGGGGAGATTAAGATGGGCTGAATGTCGATCTCTCGTGAGTGTGCAGGGACTCACGGCTGATAACCTGTTTGATGCCTCCCTTGGCGCCAGCCCGGTCGTCTCCTCCCAATGCTGCTGACCAGTCCCCTTCTTCTCTCCCCTCCCCCCTCCCTGCTTTGGCTTGTAGGTCCTGAACGGAGGATCGTCCTGATGGGCAAAACCGGCAATGGGAAGAGCGCGACGGGAAACACCATCCTCGGGGGCCACATCTTCGAATCGAAGATGTCTTTCGGTTCCGGCACCAAGTGTTGCCAAAGGGAGGAGACGATGGTGAGCGGCCGGAAGGTGGTGGTGGTCGACACGCCGGGCTTCCTCGACACCGGGCATCGCAAGTCAGAAACGGCGGCCGAAGTGAAGAAGTGCGTGAAGTTTTGCACCCCGGGCCCGCACGTCATCCTGCAGGTAATCCGCCCGGGCCGTTTCACCCAGGAGGAGGAAGAGGTGGCTCAGCTGATCAAGGAGATCTTCAGCCTCAACGCCAAGAAGTACATGATCCTCCTGTTCACCCGGAAGGAGGACCTGGAAGGGAAGACGCTCGACCAGTTCATCTCCGAGGGGAACTGCACCCTGAAGGAGCAGGTGTACCTGTGCGGGAAACGCTACCTGGCTTTCAACAACAAGGCCGAGGGGGCGGAGCGAGAGGCGCAGGTGGCCCAGCTGATGGAGATGATTGATGAGCTGGTGAAGAGGAACCGGAGTGCGCCTTGTTACACGGAGGAGATGCTGGCGGCCGACAAGGAGAACTTCAAGAGCAGACTGGACCTTTCCTGGTTGTGTCCTTTCCTTTAGGGCAGGGATTTTCAACCTTTTCGCAGATTGTACCCCATTTAGGACATGACAGTCTTTGAGTACCACCACTGCTTAGCAAGGTGTCAAAAACTTGATGACTAAAAAAAAAGGGGGGGGGAATTTGGGTTTTACTGATTAGATTCATTGGCTGTTCAAGAAATGGCTAGTTTATAATACTCTGGAAAAGTAAAAAATTGGGGTTCAATGTTAATGCTTCCTTCTACTGCAACGGAGGGACTCTGTTCTTTTTCCCTTCTCCCCCTCACTTCCCCCCTTTTTTTCCTCCCCACCGTGTCCTACTATTTGCTTTTGTATTTTTGTGCCTTATTCTACAATCTAATAAAATATGACAAACTGTAGAAAAAAGGGGGGGAAAGTAGCAGTTTTAATTTCTTCGGTGGCCGTTCCTTGGCTGAACCCCGTTTCCGTTTGCACCGACAAATGTACGATGAATTTATCCAACGTTTATTAGTGTGCAACAGTGCTGGTTCACTCAAGGGTGTTCGAACGTGGCCCTCTTAAGACGTGTGGACTTCAACTCCCAGAATTCCTCAGCCGTCGTGGCTGCTTGAGGAATTCTGGGAGTTGAAATCCACAGGTCTTCAAGTTGCTAAGTTTTTAGACCCCCGGGCTAGCTGGTCGCCCTTCTTCCTCTCTCCTTTCCGAGCTCTCCTTCCACGGTGTAGTAAGAATGCCCCGCCTCCCCCAATCCCTTCCCTGTACCCTTAAAGTGCAAAGCAAGAAAGGCTCACAAAATAAAGAAACACATAAACTTCGTTTTTTTCTCTCTCTTTAAGCTGCCTCAGGCGTGTCACTTGTCACAATGTTGCAATCCGAGACTGAAAGGCTCCGGCAATCGCAAAAAGATTTAGCCTTCAATTAAGCCTGTTTACTTTCAAATGAAAACTTTCCAAAAGCCAAAGACCAGACATGTCTAACACAAGGCCCCAGGGGCCGGATGCCGCCCGCGAAGTGGTTTCATGTGGCCCGCGAAGCCATCCTGGAAACAGTGAGGGAACGGCCCCCGCTGCCTTGGCCCCGGCCGAGGCCAGCCGGGAGCCAATGTACAATTTCGTGGTGGCCATCTATGTTGAAACGCATTCAGTCTTAGCTCCACAAGGCTGTCTGGAAACAGCGAGGAACCAGCCCCTGCCGCATCGGCCCCGCCCCCTGGGTGCATGCTGGGGAGGTATCACCCTTTGTGAGGAATGAAGAAATGCACCATCGCCTGGAAGTGACCAGCAAATGGCCCTCTCCTACTTCACATATCTGAATTGATGGGCTCTGGGGGAGGGGTTTCAGCAGGCAGCAGGTCGCTCTCCTCATAGCGGCGAGAGGCTGAGCTCAGTGGCGCAAATCCCCCAAAAAAGCACGACGACGACCAGCCCCCGGCCTGCCCGGTTTCGGCAGGCAGCGGGGCGCTCTCCTCACAGCACCAAGAGCTGAGTGGCACGAAACTGATGAGAAGTACAATGCTGCCTAGCCCCCAGCCTGCCCAGTTTCAGCAGGCAGCAAGGTGCACAGCTGGCGAGCATCGCACCGCCCGGCTCAACCTCTCGGCGCTGTGAGGAGATCGCCCCGCTGTGAGCCCACTAACCCGGATATGTGAAGGAGGCGAGGGTCATTCGTTGGCCACTTCCAGGCGATGGTGCATTTCTTCACTCCTCACGAAGGGTGACACCTCCCCAGCTGCGTTTCTTGCCTGTTTTTCTCCTTCCCTCATCTCAAATATTTTCCCACCACTCTGTACTTGGAAGGAAGGAACGAAGGAAGGAAGGAAGGAAGGAAGGGAGAGGGAGGGTCTGAGGGAAGTCCTGCCTTAGTCCTGCCTTAGTCCTGCCTTGCTGCCCTTTCACCATCCCCTTGCCCCCTCCTCCTGCCCTATCCTGGGGGTCTCCCATCCTATTGCTAAGGAAGCCTTGGATACAAAGCCATGGAGAGGGGATGGGTC